TGATAAGTCAATGCTCTCTGAATTGATCTATGGATTAAACATAAATCCAATCTAAGTTCCAGAGATTATACATTAAAAACTCACAAAGATTTTAAAATTTATTTGTAAATGGAAAAAAATCTGGATTAGCCAAATATTTTTTTTTAAAAGAAGAACAAAGTTGGAGAACTTATAGTTCCTGACAAGATATATTATAAAACTATAGTTATCAAGTAGTTTGGTATTGGCATCAGTTGAACAGAATATAGAGTACAGACGTAGACCAACACACATATGGTCAACTGATGTTTTGACAAAGGTTCTAAGACAATTCAATGGGCAAAGGATAATCTTTTCAACAAATGGTGCTGGAATAATATGCAAAGAAATGATCCTCATTGCTTAAATTCTCATAATTTGCAAGAATTACTCAAAATGAATTAGAAACCTAAATGTAAGCACTGCCACTATAGCCTACAAAATTATAAATTATAAAATTTCTAGAAGAAAATATAGGAGATAATCTTGGTGAAACTGTATTTCACAAAAAAATTCTTAAATGAGACACAAAAATAGCACAAGCCATGTTAGAACAAAATGATAAATTGGATTTTGCCAAATTATCAACTTCTGCTCTTCAAAAGACACTATTATAAAATGAAAAGGCAAGCCATAGACTAGAAGAGAATATTTGAAAAATATATATTTGTTAAAGGATTTGTGTCTAGAATATATAAAGAACTCTTATAACAATGTAATAAGATGAACAACCCAAATGAAAATAGCCAAAACACTTAAACAGACACTTCAGTAAAGGAGATATACAGATAAATAAGCACATAAAAAGAAGCTCATCATGAGTAGTCACTAAATAAATTAAAACAAAACCTAACTAAAAAGCAGTACATATAACCCACAAGAATGTCTAATATTAAAAAGACCATACCAAGTGTTAGTGAGGAAGAGGGGTAACTATAAAATTCAGAAAATTTCTTAAAGTGCTATATATACACTTATACTACCTAGCCATTCCGCTAGTTTATGTTTACCAAAGAGAAATGATGTCCACAGCAGCTTTATTTATAATAGCTAAATACCAGAAACAATGCAAATGTCCACCAACAAGCGAATGAGTAAACAAATTGTGGTATATCCTTGCTATGGACTACATGCTACTGCTCAATAATACAGGGAACAAACTATTAATGCATGCAACAGCATGAGTGAATCTCAAAATAATTATGTGGAGTGGAGCGGAGTGGAAAATACCAGACAAAAATAGCACTGACTCTATGTTTCCATTTACATAAAATTCTAGAAAATGCTAATAACCAGTAGGGACAAAAATCATACAAGTGATTGACTGCCTGGGGGCCGAGTGGGAAGGAAAAATTACAAAAAAGCATGCAGAACTTCTGGGAATGGTGGATATGTTTCCTGTCTTGAAAGTTGTGATGATTTTATAGGTTCATACACATGTTAACTCATCAAATCTTACATTTTAAATATATGTGGTTTATTATACATCAGTTAGACCTCAGTCAAGATGAAAGAAACCATGTATTTATTTGAAGAAAAATAACACTATATAATGTGAGGCTATTATTCATGCAGATCTTGTAATATATATAACAACATCAACACAAAGGACAAAAAAGATGTACATGTAACTATACTGCTACAAGTTCCTACATTTTTAGTGAAACAGAACAATATTAACTTTAAGTAGTATTTTGATAATTCAAGGATGCATATTGTAATCATCAAGGCAACCTCAAAACTTACAAAGAGGTACAGCCAGATAACTAAGAGAGGAACTAAAGTGGAATACTAAAAATATTGGATTTACCAAAAAAGACAGGAAAGGGGAAAAGGAAGAACAGAAATCAGGTAAGATAAAATTGAAAAAAATAGGGTAATGATAAAAATAAATCTATAGTTATATTGAATGTAAATGAAGTAAGCACTCCAATTGAAAGGAAGAAATTGTCAGGCTAAATAAAAAACAAGACTCAACTAATCTGTTTACAAGAAATGCATTTTAGACATAAAAACACAAAGAGTGTAAGTAAAATGATGGGAAAAGATACACCATGCAAACCACAAGCATAAGAAAGCTGAGGTGGCTATATTATATCAAACAAGATAGAGCCCAAGACAAGGAGAATGACCATAGATATGGAACATTTCATAATGATTAAAGGGAAGCATAATAGTAATGAGTTTGTGCCCAATAACTTAAAAGTAGATAAAGCAAAACATCAACAATCAAGAGGAGAAACAAATAATTTCTCAATTATGGTTGGAGATTTTAATACTCCCTCTCAGTAATTAATAGAACAACTAATTAAAATATCTGTAGGTGATAGAACAGGAGTTTCTATTAAGGGCCAGATAGTCAAGATTCTAGGCTTTGTGAGTCACACGTGGTCTCTGTGGTATATTTCTTTTTCCTTTCAACCCTTAAAAATGTAAAAATTGCCCAGCTGGGCGTGGCTCAGCGGTTGGGCATTGACCTAGGATCCAAGAGATCTCGGTTCAATTCCCAGTCAGGGCACATGCCCGGGTTTCAGGCTCGATCCCCAGCAGGGGGCATGCAGGAGGCAGTTGATCAATGGTGACTCATCATTGATGTTTCAACTCTCTCTCTCCCTCGCCCTTCCTCTCTCTGAAATCAATAAAGACATATTAAAAAAAAAAAAAAAAAAAGTAAA